TAAGGCCCGCAAAATCATTCGGTCTGGCCCTGCCAAGGCAACCGCAGGCAGGACTCAAAATTCAATACATCTAGGAGCTTTTTTCATAGCAACGTAAATTGATATTAAGTGAATTATATTAAGTGAATGATGTTATAAATATCCAAATGGCTCTTGGCAGAAAAAAGGCTCCCCATCTCAACTTAGAACGCGAAGGGCCTAATCAAAGTGAACTTTCCTGATAGCTGTTCTTTATGGCTCTGTGTGTTCTTAGTGTTATCACTGCCCTATCTCTAGTGCCCAGCACCGTGCCTGGCATATAACTGGAGCTCCTATGACAGGCGTGGATGACAGGCACATACTAAATATTAGGGGACAAAGCAGGCACCCGTGGTGATTAGCCTGCGGAGAAACCCAGAGATGATGCGATGAGGAAGAGCAATGCCTTGCCCCAGGTGCCTGGGGACCGGCAGAGGTCGCAGGAGGAGGGCAGCAAGGCCAGAGCAGAGTCCAGCAGGAACTGAAGGAGCCCCCAGGGTTTGCTCTGAGGCCGACCCTGGCCCAGATTGTAAGGGGCTCTGGAGGGACTTGGGGGAAGGGGTTCTGGGAAGTGTTAGGGAGTCGTTGCGGAGGTCAAGGGCAATCTGGGGTGTTTTTACCCCCTCAGAGGACAGGGGAGAGCCCCGAGCTTGCCTCAGACAGATATTCCCACAAGTCACCAGGCTCTGCTCCCATCGCCTCTCATGCTTCTCTCGGCCACAGGAAATCAAAGCCACACAGGAATCCCATCCCTCACAGGGTGTAAAGCAGAGCCGCTGAGCCCTTTCCGGGGACACCGAGGTTGGAGAAAGGGGGGTGAGCCTTCTGGCTGCTGCTCAGGAAGAAGTCTGGCCCCGCTGAAGAGGGACCGAGGGAGACCAAGGGGAGATGGAGGGGAGACTGAGGGTCCTGGCAGCCAAAGGGCCATTTCCAATTTGTTTTGGAGAAACAAGAATGTTTGAGATCCGAAGCTCTGACCAGAGACCTCCTAAGGAAGGGGCCACCCCACACAGCACGTGCGCACGCATCCAGGGGGAGCTCCGTGGGAGAATGTCCAGTGTGCCTCCAGACTCCAAGGCTGGGCCCCTGGGCGGGGGGGTGCCCCGCTGCCCTCCTTCCTCTCACCCCCCGCCACTCTCTGGTGAGAGCGGAGCCCGCCTGCTGAGTGTGCGGGGAGGAGTCTTCTTGAACCTTTGCACTCACTCACATCAGCAAAAGCACTGCTGTGCCTTCCAGGGGGGTAGCTCCCTAGAAATGCAAGCCCAACAATTAGTTACAACAGGCGCCGGAGCCCAGGCAGGCAGGGAGCAGCCCGGCTGTGCGCAGGTGGCCTCTCTGGGGGTGCATGGAGGAGGAAGGTTGGTCAGGAAAGGAAGCATCCTTGCGAATCAGACAGCCGACCAACGCTGGTGCTGGAGAGGCAGGGGCCCAGGGGACCCACAGGCGAGCCGTGAACGGATCAGAGTAAACCACTGGTTCTTCATAGTGAATTAGGGCACCGGCGGTGGGAAAAACCCTCCAGACCCTCCCAGATGTTTCGTGGGCTTTGCATGGCAGAGCACTGTTTTATGGGACCCTTCTGGGAACCAGACGGAGCTGGTCCAGGACCTGAGGCGGGGGCTGGGCTCCGTCCCGCTTCACTACACAATAAACACACATCAGCTTGTCTCAGAAGACAGGATCCTTTGCATACTAAACATTTGGGTCCTAGGCTTTGCGGGGGGGGGGGGGGGACCTCTGAGAAGAGGGGCTCAATTCTGGCAGGAGAAGAAAGATGAGGGGAGGTGCAGTCACTCAGAAACCCAGGCCTATTCCAGATGTTCGGGGCAGGGGCTAAGCCATGGGATGCACTCACTCCAGAAGGTGGAAGGACAGGATTCCCACGGGCCTGCAGGGGCCCACAGGGAGACCAAGAAAAGGGGTGGGAAGGCGGTAGTGAAGGCCACCACCTGTGGGGGCTGGTGTGTGTGTGTGTTCACATGTGTCTGTCTGTGTGCAGGTGGGCGCAGGTACGCCCATGTGCACGCATATGCACACGCAAGGCAGAGGAGGATGTGACTGTGTGTGCTGCATGTGCGCCTGCCTCTGGGCGCACGCTTTGGGACTACATACAGTTTGTGGATGTGCGTGTGCTCACATGCTTGGGGCGTTGCCAACACTTCCCGCTAAAACGAATGGCAGCTGTTGTCTCCTCACTGAGCCTTATCATGTTCATGCTAATCCCACATTATTGCGTTAAGTTGCCTCTAAAAATTAACATTAAGAAATTGTGTAAACAGTCTGGGGCTAAATGGCAAGCCCGATCCTAGAAGGAGGTGTTATTAGCAATGTCGATTAGTCACCCTTCCTGTTCCACCTGGTGGGCCTCCCATCGGCTGTGGGGAGAGCCCCCGGGAACACCGGCAGAGGGACCAGCTGGCCACAGCCTGTCCGGGCCAGACAGGACCGGACTGTTTGGTCCAACCGCTGGTTTCACTGCTACCAGGAGGCCTGGGTTCCAGGCGGAAAGCAGTGCCTTCAGAATCCACCTGGAGCCCAGGCCTCCTCACTGGCTTCCTCCTTGAGCTGCACCTGGGGCTGTGCCGAGAGAGAGAAATGGGTGCGAGCCCCCCTTCTCTCTCTCTCTCTCTGTCTCTCTCTGTCTCTCTCTCTCTCACACACACACACACACACACACACACTGCTGATGGTCCCTCTGAGGGCCACGGTGTCCCTGTTTGTAAAAGGAGAAACTCCTTTTAGATGCAACTAGAAACTCTCCAAGGTCATGTCTGCCCCACCGTTTGCTGACTTTTGACCAGAACTGGATGCAGTGGCGAGAGAGGCCGTCTGTGCTCCATGCAAACTGGCAGCCAGGTCCTTCCTCTGAGCTGGGCTCCCAGGGTGCCCTTTCCCCCGCCTGCACCTCCTCCTGCCCTCCCTCCAGGGGGTGGGGAGTCCTAGTGGGAAGGGGAGTTTGGAGGCGAGGATAACATGGTCTCAGGACAGGTTCTCCGAGCAGAGTCTAAAGCAGTGGTTCTCAACCTTCCTAATGCCGTGACCCTTTCATACAGTTCCTCATGTTGTGGTGACCCCCAATTTCATGGTTAAAAATTGAACATAATTAAAGCATAGTGATTCATCACAAAAACAATATGTAATTATATATGTGTTTTCCGATGGTCTTAGGCGACCCCTGTGAAAGGGTCGTTCGACCCCCAAAGGGGTCGCGACCCACAGGTTGAGAACCACTGGTCTAAAGAAACAAGAATTACCCCAATAGGGGGAGGGGACACGCTTCATTGCGAGAGTGGAGGAATGGTCCTGCACCTTAGCTGGAGGCACCGGGGTCAGATTCGGAAGAACTTCCTTACTGGGGCAATCAGGGCTATGAAACAGGAAACACAAGAGGGGTGAGAGGGAAGGGCAGCTGTCCCTAGAGGCAGTCATTACTCACCATATTGTCAGAGGTCTGTGGGATGGTGTGGGTGGTGGGGTCTTTCCTTACCTCAAGGTCTTCACCCAAATGGCAAGTTCTAAAGCCACTGCCCCTCCCTCTCCCCCATCCTTCACCCCTCCCCCCCCCCCCCCCACACACACACACACATGCAGCTGCTCACTGGAAAGAGCAGGGCCCAGCTTGGTCCTAGCCAGGCAGAGAAGATGAAGGGAAGGGGCCCTGTGATTCTCAGCACCAGCCCTCAGGACACAGAAACACATCGCCCGCTGGGACAGCCTTGGTTCAGCAATGCCTGATGGTGGGTCTAGAGTCCGTCACCCGGCAAGGGACGAAGCCTCAGACCTTGTGCGATAGTTTCAGCTGCTGAAAAGCACTTCCATCCCCAGGCGGCTGGGGCCAGAACCCAGCACAGGAGCCGACCTTCTCTGTGGCTGGGAAATAAATTTCATATATTTGCACACCCAGGAGGGCCCGCCAGGGTGTGCAACTATATGAGCGTGGCTTCTGAGTCTCCGGCAACTTGACAAAAGAGCATTTGGAAGTGTCTTCAGAGACGGGTACACGCCATGGCTACATCTGCACCCCCCACATACAGACATGCACACGCCTGTGCATGCACACTGGCTCCCTGGTCACGCACCCCCAACCCACCCAGCACACACAGGCAGGAGAGTGCATGGAATTTGCCCCAGGCGCCCTGAGAAATTCCCGGACAGCCTGCGGGGCCCTGTGCTCCATCTCTGCTCCCTCCCACCCCACGCGCTGCCTCCCTGCCTTCTCTTTGAAATACCCAGGCTCCTGTGGGCTGAGCCTGGCACTCAGCAGGTTGGCATGTGTTTGGCAAGGCAGTGGTGCCTACAGGTGGGGCTACCATACAGGCCGGGCGCCTGTGGACCCCCATCTCCACCACACACAGGTACCCCTGCATCCACCTCCCCCTGCGGGGTGCCGGGAGCCTAGGAGGGAGCCGCACCCTCCCGCTCCGCTCCGCATCTCAGCTCCTCGGTCCCAGAGACCCGCCCCCCAACTAGCCAGCCCGGAAACAATCACCCTTTGAGAAGGGCTGCCAAGCTGGGCCCCAGGAACAGCCAGGATGGAGGCGGGGTGGGATGGGGGTGCAGGCAGCGGCCAGGCGCGCGTTAACTCTCGAGAGCCGAGGCCCGGCTGTGCTCGCCCCCGCCCGCAGCCCCGGCTTCCGCGCCCCAAGCTGGAGCCGCCTCCGCCGGGCAGGGCGTTGGGGTAGGAGGGGAGGTGATACCAATCCCGGGGGGAGGGTCCTCGCGGCCTCCTCCTAGCGCCCCCGCCCGAGCTGGCGAGGTTGGTACCGACCATCAGCGGTCCCGCCGGCAGCCTGAGCTGCTGGGGGGGAAAGGGGGGAGGAGGAGCGGGGGCGGGGCGGGCGGGAGGCGCTGTCAGAGCCGTGACACCGGCGCAGCCGCACGGAGGGGACTCGGAGCCGGCCCGGTTGGCTGGGCGGCCGCGCATCCCGGCTCCCCGCGCCCCCTCCCCGCTCCCCTCCCCACCCCCCTCCCGCCCCCCGCCCCCGGCCCTGCCCGCGCCCCCCCCGCGCTCGCGGCTCCATCCACCGCCTCGCCGAGCCCAGGAGCAGCCGGGCTGGGCGGCGGGGCGCAGGCTGGGACCCCGCGGCTATGAAGTGGCCCTCGGGGGCTGCAGCCCGAGATCCCCGGGGGAGGGAGGGGCGCGCGGCCCGGAGCAGCAGCCTGGGGGCCCCGGGGCCCGGGTTTAGGGGCCGCCACCGCCCGGAATGAATCGCGCTGGGGACGATCCGGACTCGGACTCGCCGCCTCAGGTCAGTGACCCCCGCGGGCCCCCGCGGCGCCGCTGCAGCGCACAGAGCCCCTTTATGCGTCCCCATCAGTATCCACGCCATGTCCTCGCGGGTGCGCGCGCGCCGGCGTGTGTGTGTGTGTGTGTGTGTGTGTGTGTGTACACGCAATGGGGACAGCTGGAAAGGGGGCCTGAGAGGGGCCAGGGCTGGAGCCGCCGAATGCCACCCAGGAGCTCCCAAACAAACCGGGGTTGAGTCACGCCTGCCCTGCTCAGCCCCGCGTCTAGGGAAGAGCTGGCCCTCAGTTCCTTCCAACAACTGGTCCAGGCTCTTAGCTTGCCGGTCCCTTCCCACCTCAGCAGGTGGTTCCTGGTGGCCCAGCTGAGCCCGGCCCAGCTCCCCCTGCTGCACCTGCTCCCTGGGTCATCCCCAAGGGCTCTGAGGCTCAGGGGCAGCTCTGCCAGGACGGCGGAGGGGCTGAGGGCTGGCGAGGGTGGCAAAGGGTCCGTGGGCCCTTCACTGTCGCAAGGCGGCCGGAGGCATGACCAAGTTCACCGCCCTCTCCTCTGCACCTGGGCTCCGGCCTGAGGTCTGATGCCTCCAAAATCAGAGCATGCAACTTGCGAAGGGGAAGCCGAGAGGCACGGCAGACAAGGAGAAGGAAGCCACCGGATCTCACGGGGACAGGGAAAGGGGGTGACAGCCTGGTACCAAGCAGCTGAGGTCAAGAACCACACACACACACACACACACACACACACACACACACACACACGGCCTTGACTGGCCTCCCCTTCCCCTTCCTCGCCTGGCCAGGCCTAGCCTCAGCCGCACACTGTTCGATGGATTCTTACAGAAGCTGGGGCTGAGGGCTTTGGCACCCCTAATACCCAGGAGTTGAAGGTGGCCTTTGCTGACAGATGCCAGCCCTGTGCTGGTGGGAGCAACTCGATCTGCATGGGTACCAGTCTGGAGGGGTACCCGCTGGGACCCTCCATGGCCACACTGTGTAAAAGGATTAGTTGGGAGGGGATGTCCGCGGGCATGTAGCTCAGTGAAGTGACTGTGTGTGTGTGTGGAAATGGGAGGCATGACTTCCTAAGTCGCTGGGGTTGAGGGACCCGTGGCCTCACAGGACAGCTGTTCTGCGGTTTTCTGAGATTTGTCCGCTGTACCTCCCGTCTCCCTACCTCTGCCCAAAGCCACCACAGAGATGGAGACAGGTCCTCCCAGAACCTGCTCAGTGGTGAGCATGAGCCTTCCTGGGTTCACATCACGTCCTCCCTCTTCTTCATATGAAGACCCTTTCCCATGAGACCTTCAGGCTCTCCACTCTGCCCTGTCCATGCCCGGCACTCCCGGCGGCCTGGAGCTGTGTGCCACTCCCTCCACCCACTGTGGGGGGGAGCAAGAGGCCTTACTAGGGCTAATGGAACAGGGAGGGTTCGTGGGATTGTGCCTCATTCAGCCCAGGGCCAAGTGGCTTGCTGGGCTCCATTCTGTACGGACCCGGGGAGGCCTGGGGCTCACTCCATGTTCAGGCATGTTGGACTCATAGGTACCGGGTCAGATATGTTCATATAGGTTTCTGGGTGAGCAGGCACAGGATGGCCTGTTGTAGGGCAACCACCGACCTGGGACAGCTGCAGTGACAAGCCTGGAGCCTGGACCAGTGACCAGGGCTCCGGGGAAAGATGCCTGGGGGCGGGGGGCCTAGCCCGGGGCTGGCCTAGGGTCTCCCACAGTGGGTTACAAAGGACCAGGTGGGCTGCACTGCTCCTGGAGCACGGGGTGAGCAGGGGGGCTGGGGCTTTGCAAGTGGGAGAAATGCAGAAGGCTCAGCACATGGAGGGAGGGGGGGGGCGGGCTCTGGGAGAGGGGAGACTGTTGGTTTAGTCTGGCTGGAAAAGCAGGATGAGCTGGCACAGAGATGCCCAAGGGCTCCCCTCTGCTGAGACCTGGGGGGCAGGGGGAGAGAGACAGGACTGAGGAAGAGGAAGAATCTGAGAGTCCGAGGCAGGCAGAGGAGCCGGTGTGAGGCAACCCACAAAAGACACAGAAGCACGCTCACGGAGCAACGCCACGGAGTGAGGTCCAGAGGCAGAAGGCCGGCTCACCCAGGGGTGCATCGGGGATCAGCCCACTGCCCTCCTTCCCCAGACCCCCAATATCAGCTGTCATCACCCAGGCAGGGAGCCCTCTGGGTGGAGCAGGCGGCTCGTTAGAGAAGCTCTCTCCGTGGCTCTGAGGAAGGCGGGAGTAGTTCAGAGGGAGGTCTGGAGGGAAGGTAGAGGGGGCCAGGCTGTGAGACCGGGGGTCTTTGGGGAAACCTTCTCTCCCAGGCTCCTCCTCACTGCTAAGGGCTCCCAACTCCTGGCCTTGACCCCCAAGCCCTCCCGGTCCTGGGACACAGCAGGATGAGGAAGACATAGCATCTGGGAAGAAGGAAAAAGAAAACCTTCCATCATGCACCCCCCACAGGCCTCCAGGCAGGAGGAGCTTCGGGGACCCTGCCGAAGAGCATGGGGGTGCAGGGAAGTGGTTCTCGGCAGAACACAGGCTCCCGGCCAGGCTAGGGCCCTGCCTCAGCTCCTTCCAGGGCGGGTGCGTAGACTTAGTGAGACACTGAGCCTCTACTAATAAGTCCTGGTTCCCAAAGGCCTGGACATGGAGGAACCCTCCTCTCACCAGGCTGCGTTAGGTGAGTGCGGGAGGCATGCTAACTTAATGTATTTTTTATAGCCTTTCCCAGCTTCCTCCAAGATCGGGACGGCTCCAGAATTTGGAGTAGCCATCCCCTGGCCAACCCCAGAGGCCATCCCACCGGCCTCGTTTCAGGCTCTCCCATCTCCCCCGCCACCCCACCCACCTGACCTGCTCGCCACACCTCCAGACCCTGGGCCTTCTGGAGGCCCCCCGGGGCGCGCCTCTGTCACCGGGACCCTCTCCGTGTCCCCTTGCAGGACGACAGCAGCAACCATGGGCTCATGTCTAGCTAGTGGCGAGTGTCATTATTCCGACAGATTAGCCGACGCTTGTCTACAAACTTCATGCCACTTGCAAGGAGCCCAGGTCGGTGGCCCCTCATTATTTTGCTGAAGGACGTCAAGGTGGACAGAGATCACACACATTCCGCTCCCTCCCACAGACAGCGACTGAGCACCTACTGTGTCGCAGGCAGCGCCGGAAGCAAAGCGTCAAAGAATCCAAAGTCAAGGTTTCCTATTTAGCTTGGGAAGGGCTGTGTGGGTTGCTTTTTTTTTTTTTTGCAGCTCCAGCAAATTTACTTTTCTAATGAGGTTTCGCTCCAGCCAGTATTAAAATGAGCCTGCGCTCCCTGCACACACCAGCTGACAGCAGGGCCCGCAGCCTCCCAGCCAAGTGCCTGGCAGGGGTTAGGGCTCTGCCAGATAAGCCCAAACTGGAGAGTCCCAGACGGAAGGAGTGGACTGCATTCGGGTCTAAACCTTGCCCACAGGGCTGTGGGTCCCACGGCTCAGGATTAGACCAGGAGCGGGGTTTCTCTCTCCTTGTAGGTGGGAAACGTGAGCCCCTACTGTTGCTCCAGGAAGCAGAGAGGGATGGAGGGAGCCCAGGGGGCAGAGACAGAAGGCATGGCCTTGGTAGTAGAGGGGACCAGGCCCGAGTTTGGGGCCGGTTCTGAGACCCTCCCCGGCAGGCGCATTTCCTCACCGCCCTCCTTCACTTCTCTTCTTAATGAGGCCACTGAGCAGTCCGGCCTCTGTGTCATGAGCCTCTTTCGTCTCAAGATTCCGGGCTCTTCATCGGACCATTCATTATCCAGAACATCAGAGCCCAACACGAGATGGAGGATGGCCCACTCTGCCTCCCGGGGTGGGCGGTCCCTCAGCCCCATCAGCCACTTTTCAGGGCCCAGTAGCCACACGTGGCTCGCGGCGACCCTCTTGGGCAGCACAGGCACAGAGCATCCCTGGCGCCACGGACAGTTCTAGTACAAGCGCTGGGCTAGACTCTCGGTGGGTGAGCAGGGTGGCTGCGAGCGTGGATTCCGGAGCCCACCAGGACTCAGACCCCCGCTCTGCCGCCTGCTACCCTGTGGCCGGGGGCATCACTGAGCCTCTCCCGTATTTCTCATCTCTAAAATGGGGACACTAATAGGATGTTTATGAGGAAGGAATGAGTCATGACGGTTAATCATGGTCATCACTCAGAGCCAGCAATAAATAGTAAAATGCTTTGCTTAGCAACTTTTTTATTCATTTATCTAACAGTTTCCTTCATAAACACTTTATGAAGTGTTTATGGCAGGCATGGCAGCGGAGGCTGGGGCCGACAGTAACCAGTCACAATTAAGATCTGTGGTCCTGTTCCCATCCCTGGCCCTTCCTCCGTGTCGCCACCTGTGATGGGAATTCAGCCAGACAATAACCCCTGTGCCACTCACCCCCCAGGAACGTGTCACACCTCCTTTGTCGTGGATTCAATGGCAATTCTGTCTTATTGGAACTGCTCACACCAGAAAGCGCCTCCCAAGTCCCCATACATTCAAAATAAAAGAAGCGAGTGAGGTCTGGCTACCACCAGCATCTCGTTGAAGGGGACGGAGCGGGACTTGAGGGGCTCTCGCCTGAGCTCACCCCATCCCTGGTTCTGAGGGAGGGAACGCCAGGGAGCCACTGCCCTGAGCTCAGCAGAGGGAAGCAGCGGGGAGGGAGAAGGCCCTCGCTTGGCCGGCGGGATTTCGGGATCCGCTGGCTGGTCCGGGTTCCGGGCTCAGCTGCGTCAGCAACGCACGGTGCGACGGGATCTTGCAGAACCTCAGTTTCCTCATCCCAGATATGAGGAGCGTAAATCACGTGAGCATTTCCGCACCCGAATCTTACCCCTTACCTTGGTGAGCTCTCCACAAAACGCCGCAGGAGCCGCAGGCAGGAGGAGGAAGAGACCCACCAGCCACGTTGCTAGAAGGCAGAAGGGGAGAGGAGGTGGGTCTGAGGGGGAGAATGTGCCATCGGGAACCACACACTAATGAATGGGCA